AAGTTTAAGCTTTCCGAAGCTCAAGCTCCGTATTTTTAAGACCTTTGTACCTTTTTAAGCTGAGTTTTAACCTCAATACGCCCTTGACTGTCTAAATCAAACAATACTAATTATATAGGAACCCAAGGTAATATTAGTAAAACTTTGCGAAATCCTAGAGGTGTTTTACATGTAGCTATAGAAACCATTTACTCATCAAGCTTAGTTGGAAATTTGTCGTCAAATCCTTAAGTCGTTCTTCGTCTTTTCGCGTCGAAATTGTTCTTCTCCCTTCGCGTCGGGACTTCACGTCGGAAAATAGCTTCCTCGTCGCACAAGCTTGTGTGTTGTATTTAAGGAACATTTGTCAGCTGCTCTACAGGACAGTGTATTTGGTAATAATCTGAACTACAAATTTGATCAATACGTAATTCAAACTAGTCATTACATTACTTTCTCTTATCGTAATGGGTGCATCGAACGGGATACTTGAGGGTTCCCAGGCTCTCTCTTACGTATCAGTACACTTAATAGTTTTGCATTACGGCTTTTTTCAATGCACACCGATTTCGATGATAGATTTGTTCATGGTCGGGCAAAGCAGGGAAAGTTTGATGTGAGCATCCATTTAAGTGCTCGAGTAGATACGCTTAAACTAATGTTAATTGGGATAGATGAGTCAGGATCCGACGCACACGTAATTATATTTTATAAAGGAAGATAGTCACCGGTAAATCCACCGATAATTGAGGGTGTTGTGGATCAGTCTGTGCTAAAGGGATTTACGGAAATGGATTGGCTTGACCTTCTTCTTGCACAAATACTGTGAACCTTATGTTAAAAGGTAAGGTCCCACTAATCGCTTCAACGGACGTCAAATGATGTTAGGATGCGCAAAAGAGATGTCTTTTAAAGCTCTAAAAAAATTTGCGTGTACCTTTATCTCAGCTTATTCGGATCTAGATCGGTAGTCTAAGAGCTTTTAACCTTTGCTATAGCAATACATACAAGCAGACGACGTTAGGTAGTATCGCGTCATTGTGCTCGGATCTATCCAGCATCGGATGGAGTTAAAGGTATATACAAATTTTTTCAGGGACATTTTTGCTAGGAAATCGACTCTTGTCAAATTCAGGGCATACCTGCTCGATTCTAAGCCAATCTTAATCTATACAGACCATGCGTTGCTGCGCGAAGCGACGTCGTCGCTATATCTATTGCAAGAAATGGCAAGATACATCACATTGCTAAGTCAAAAATGTGGGTAATGTGCTTCCTATACATTTTTGCGTCGCATAGACAATGAAGTATTGCATATCACAATGGTGGCATCGCTGATTCTGGTGTCTCAGAGTTTTCAAATGAATTCTTGTTGCACGCATGCGACTTGGCCTCTAGCCAGCCTGTCCGTTTTTAACGGAATGAAGCAGTCCCTATGTGTGGACTTCATCTTTGGTCTTTCAAAAGATGCGTCTGGTTGCACCGTGGTTGTAGTCTTAGTCGACCAGACTCATTTCGCTGATATCAGGGACACCGCTACTAATTTATATACGACCAAAGCCGAGCACTTCCTTGATAAAATTCTTGCCAAAAAAACAATTTCTTTTTGGTCATTGTTTCATGATCGACGCAATACCACAATATAACGGCGAATTTGATTAAGGTCTTGGCGCCACACTGGACATGTGTACCACAGACCACGAGATAGATGGTCAAACAGAATGCGCTCGCTAAGTGGTGGATGGTCAACTTCGAAGTACCAGCGTGGAATGACCGCGGTTCTGATCTTGTTCTACGAATTAAAGCTACCTGAAATACTGCGATACACGCCGCTGTAGACCCTGTCTGACATTTCCAAGAATTTGGTTCACGGCGGTGTTCCCTGAAGACCTTAACAAGGTGGTTTCAGTCTCAGCTGTCACTTTCTTGAATATCAAACTAGCTACCTCTCGTATAAAGATCAACAATGCCAAGCTGGCTAATGACACATCCAACGTTCTACGTAAGTCATATCAAGCCCTATCATCGCAACAATGCGACTTCCAACCTGGATGTAACGCAGCTTATACGAATACGGCTTCAGGGCCACAGTTTCGGCACGAGGGCAAAAGTCGAACTTATTGACGTTGTCGACTCAGCTTCCTCCTCGAAATCACGAGGATCATCGTGAGCTTTCGAAGCAAACGAACGATTGTGAGAGTCGGACCATCAACATGAAGCAGATGGCAGTTGATCGCGCTGACGATTACTACGGGAAGCATATCCTTCCAAACTAGAGCGAGGTCGCTTGACGGGAGGCTTCGCATCATCTGCGGTAGCAGCCGCAGCAGGGCGGGAGAATCCGCAGAGCCCGCTCCAGTCGCCGAATCGCAGCCCAGGTGAGTTTCCTTGACGCCATGTAAGATCGCGAAATTCGCAGACGACCCGTATCATTCACGTGTTGTCGCGCGCTCGACACTTGGTCGAATATCTCAATCATCTGCCGGTTCATCACGAAAAAAAGTTTTTCACCTCCCTCAATCAAAATATGAATCAGTCAAAGGCTGTGTAACAGCCACAGAAGTAGCAGAGGTGCCCTCTCTGGGCACTCCCCCATCTTCTCGATCGACAAGAAAATCGAAACTACCATGTCAAGAACGTGGTAGCAGAGAGGAACGTCCACAGTCGAAAGGAGTTCTTGGTAAAATGGCTGTGTTTATGACGAACAAGAAAACGTGGGAGCGCCGTAGTCGCATTCTCCGCGACTATCCCAATATCGTTCTCGCGCTCGATGCGGGTCCAAAGACAAACCCCGCTTATGAGATCCGACCCTTCCCCTTTTCTCTCTCTCCCTTTCTTCGGGAAACCGACTAATGACCGCACGTATTTCGCGAGTATCTTTGAAATCGAAGTGAACCGATCCTGCGCTGATAAATGTTTGAACCGGATACGCATATCGTGTATCTGCAACGATTCTGCAGCGGCATTCGCATTTTGAAAATGATAGACATCCACGAATTTGGTTGCACGAACTGATTCTTATAATCGAGTGTCGATTGTCTGAATAGAATCCTAGACGTATGATAATACGCGTGGTATCGTGGCTCACCTCCAGCACAAATTATCGTTTGAGGGCGCAAAAATGCAAATCGAGTTATCAGTCGAGCAATAAAGAGTTTGTCGAAGTTTATCAGCCTTTATTCGGGCTCGACGATTTCTGCAGTAAATTCGAAGATTTAGAAACAACTTTCAGCTAAGCTTACTTTCTTGTGACCTGGATCCATTAATTAATCTTTGGTCGGGTATACGAGATATTCGTCAAAGACAATCATTCAGCTTCGAGCTTCGATTTCGCCTCTTCAAATCTAAAATGACCGCCAAAACCATTGGCAGCTTTGAATGTGAGGTATTGTGCTAGCTCCTTACGGCTCTATACTTCTGTTGTTCAAAAGTAAACATACACTGCTCCAGAATCATCGGGTAAATGCATAAGCTGCGAACATCCATCGCTGCCGTACAAGAATTTAAGTATGTTTGTACGCTTGACTAGACTATTCACGAGCTCGTCTATAAAAGTCTTGACCATCAACCGCCTTGCAAGAATCCATAGGCCTGTGCCAGACTAGCATCTCGCTAGGTGTCTATAGTTCTTTTTCCGTCAGTGAGGATGATGGGATGAATCAATTATACATGTTGAGTTTCTTAGCCACATATTGAACATTTTTTTCAATAGGTCGTGTCATGAACAGCTAAGTTCAAGAAACGCTTCTTTGTACGTGCTGTTCCTAAACGACTTAGCTACGTTTGAAAGCGCTGGCGGCCAAAGTCGCAGAAGTAGGAAGGAGAGTAGAAAGCAGCTATATTAAGAGCTACATTCGTTGCTTGAAGACAGTAGATGCTTCAAGAGATGTATGAAGGGCTACCAAACGATGTGGTAGTACCGATGGTAGCTCATCAGTATCGAGCGCTTTTCCAACTCCTTGCTAAAAGCCAAGCTCCATTGGTTAATTCATTAAATAATTGGCATCACTCTCAGATGATGTGATTATAGCCGGTGCAATACCTTGATCACATTGAAGAATCGCCAAAAAACAAATATTTTATCGTTTGCCAAGTAACCTCGCCACTAATTCTTTCCTGACATATATCATTGTTCACATTTGTTCCTCACGTAATGGCGCTGAAATTCAAACCCATCGAAAAAAGCGCGCGTTCGTAACGCATTAAGATCGACTGCAAAAGCTCGTTCCCTATCCTTGTGAAGAACAATTATGTCTTCTAGTTTCGTACACTTTTCCTTTAACCTCTCAATTTTATTTTTGAGCTGGTTATTACATCTAATTGGAGATCCAATGCCATGTGAACCACTAGTGGCCATTGCGTTTTTGACAACAAAAAGCTTCTGGCGTGTAGCCTCAAGCTTTATTTGATGCTGTTGAATATCATACTTCGTTTGACGCAGCCCCACCATATTTTTGAAGTCACACTGAGAATTTTGGCAGCGTACCAAATGTTTATCGATTTCAAGCCATACGCGACAAGATCCATCATGACATGGCATCGCACCGCCTCCTAAAGTGCGATGTGTCTCACACATACGCCCTCGAAGATGCCAGCAGCCTTGAAAACACACCATTCCCACAGGCGGACAGCAATTCAACGCATCAACTAGCTTTAAAGCTGCTTTCAAGCGTTTTTGATAAGCAACACTTTGTTTCGATGGGCTGTCGACATCACATACCCACTCAATTTCACCATTTCGTTCCCTCTTCTGCAACGATTGCACACAATCGTGCACCTCTGATTCTACTGTCACAATTTCGACCTCACACTCGTTCGCATTCTCTGATTCGCTGTCTTTTTTTTTCTTGTCACGGTCCGATGTTCCAGCATCATATAGCTTTCGAGCCACCGTTTGTCGAGCTCGCTTTGAACTGATATACGGTTCCTTTAGTCTCTGCAAGTGTCGCTTGCTACTCTGCCCAGTCGGTGGCGATGTTGTCACAGTTAAATCGACATGTGGAGAGCAGGATTGTCTCATTCCAGTACCGCTAGCATTCATTATAGTAAGGGGAGTGACAACTACAGCTCCACCTGTCTCCGTATCGGTCTTAATGATAGGATTACTAAGGCTTGGGGTAGATGGCACAACAGCAGATTGCGGTTCAGGCTCCATAATGCCGCCTCCATTGTATTGAACCCATAAGTTCCCACTCACTGACGACCTCAACTCAATCTCCTGACAGCTGCTGTAACTCGCCTCAATAACTTTTTCCATTTTCTCCACGAACTTCTCCGACGTGTTCATGTGACTTGCCATGTATGCAATCAGGTGTCTGCAGCACTTTTGGTATATGTCCATTGTGAGGTCACTCTTTTCCAACTCTTGCTCCAGGCTGACCAACAACTGCATTGTTTCGTTGAGTCTTGCACGCAGGCTTTCCGATAAAGAAGACACGGCTAAGTAACTTCCTTCTGCATCATTGCCAACGCGTGTTGTCGCGACGCTATCAAGCATTACGATGCCTTATGTTGTTACAAAGCTGCACACAATAAATCAATAAAAGACATAAGTCAACTCAAAATGTATTGGTCAAAACTTATAACTTAGATAACACCAAGTTTTGAGGGAGGCATAATCGCAGATTGTAAACTGAACACAACGCCACTTCATCTATTTACATACAAAAATTAAAGATTGTCAGCAACAAGAAATTAAGAGAGATCAAAGATCAATTAATAGCTATTGCCGCAAACAGCCTAAATCACGACAGGTAGCTTAAATTAGCGATTGACTGGCCGACAACGCAGTAGGGTTGTCATGTACTTTGTTGCACTGACGAAACTTTGACTCGAAGAGTCCGCATCAACAGTTGCACAGAAGTGAGATTAGTGCGATCCAACCAGGAGTGGAATTGAGAACCTCTCACGAAACTAGATGTGTAATTAAATCTGCTATCTTCGAGAGTACATATATTTAGGGTTGATTCTTTTTAGCCTAATACTGATTATATACTTTTCCATAAATACCGAATTTTTAGTGAATTTTTAGTAGTATCAATTGCAACGCGAAATTTGTACAATTGTGCCGTATTGGTTTGTAAGATGGCTCAAAACTTACTGGTTGACACACCCTCTCGGAAAATCTGACTCATCACTCAAAGAGCTCAAATGTAATTTCATAGGCTTCCCCTTCGGATCACTCATAATCAAATTACAATTTGATCGAAAATCGCTTTCATTTCGATTGTTTCATTCAATTTGACACGTTGCAAATTGATACACCGTGATCAAAGCGAAGACGTGAACTCAACAAACACATGCGTAACACGGTAGCCCGCCTCACATAAAGAAAGTATTGATTTCGCGAGCGCGCTAAGAAAAAACACTATAATTGTATTTGTACGCTCCACCGAGGGGCGAAACCGGAAACTTCTCACGAAACTGAGAATTTACTGTTGCTCCTAAAAAATGTTAAGTGATAACTGTTAGCATTGAGTCCAGTTTAATGCAACACCAAATAAATCATCTCCTCAATCCTCGATGACAAAACGCTACTACTGCATAGCTTGTGTAACACGAGATGTGCATGGTGTGACTGCACCCAAACAAAAATACAGTAGTTATGCATGTATTTAGATTTTACTATATATATTTAGTATATTTAGGAAAATCTAAACGGAAGAGCTAATTAGCCTTGGATAAGGCGATAATTACTCTTGAAGTAAGCAGATTGCGATCCGCAAACTCGTACTTGTTCTGAGTATAGAACGAAAGGTCGGTGACCTAAATGACACTTTCTCGAGCGCTAAGCTACGGCACCCCCGCTGCAACATGAGCCAAGCAACCCATGGATTCTTCCTTTACTAAATCCCAGTGCCTTGTCCTTATCATGCTACTTCTTCATTGCATTTTACATTGCTTCTTTTTTTGATTTCGCGCTGTGTTCAAGAGACAGCAGCGAAACGCGTACGTACAACATGTAGTTCGCGTACGCCTTACTTTACCAAACTATGTACCCCACTCATATGGCCTTTTCGAAATTTTGCAGCAGTGAGCGGCCCACTATGGCTGGTGTTCTTCAATCCCATTTTTCACTGCTTCTTCGAGCATAAGCCGCATTGTTCTTTCAAATATGCAAATTATTTGAAAGAGAACGTTCGGACAGCTAAACCGAAAAAACCTCACAAAACGGGTAAGCCAGACAGTGCCGAAGATTTTTGCCGGATTTATCACATGCGCCACTACTTCCTATCGAAGGAGCTGAATCCGCTAAAGAAGTTGACAATTTGAATTTCTAATGCAACCTTTCTGTATGCTGAGCGTCAAAGGAGGTAAGCAGTCGCCGGACAAAGAAAACCAATTGTATCCAGTTAAAGCCAGTAGAACATTTAAAAAATATTATACAACATACGACAGGCTTAAAGGTAGTACAGGAAAGAGAACAAATGACTTTCAATATAATCACTTGCTTTTTGCCAAAAGTTCATTTCTTCAGGTTAAGAGCCCAAGTCCCGCAGACTGCCGTCTTCGCACTCAGCCACGACCACGCTCTCGCCATGATATGAATACCTCCCTTATCTACAAAATCGAACGAGCGAATTTTCATATGTGGAAGCTTAAGATGCAATTGGTTCTAAAAAAGAGCAGCTGTGGGAGATTGTGAGAGGCGAGGTTAAGTGGAATCAGTGTGTTGCTTTGCTAGACCAAGGAACATATCTCGCAAGGCAATGGCAATTCTCTGCCTTGCTATCAAGGACTCGCACTTTCCGTTGCTTCGGTAGGCAAGCGGTTCGTATGATGCATGATGGCATCTTTGAAAAGCATTTTGAGAAGAAACGTTTGGCCAACAAGCTCTTTCTTTGTCGACGATTTTTCACGAGCAAGATGGACGAAAGTGATGATGAGCTAAAGCATATTAAAAAGCACACGACGCCAGCAGAACAGATCGACGCGATCGGAGCTATCTCTAGCTAAATGACTTAGTGATCGCACTTCTAGTCGATCTGAGGGAATCGTACTCGAACTAATAACGACATTGGAGTCAAGAGCCGATTATTTGGCGCGGAAACATGTGACGTCTCGACTACTTCACGAAGATGCGTAAGGTGCAAGGCAGTGGTACCGATGCAGCCACCTAGAGATAAGGTCAAGCTTTTGTCACGACTGATAGCTCGCGACGCAAAGGAAGGCACGCACCAGCTTAGTCGAGCAGTGCATGTCAGTACTGTGGTGGGCGGTACTGTGGATTGCTAAGTTCCTTGTGCGGGTCACGAGAATGCGTAGCGACAGCGAGCACTCATTGCTCAAAATGAAGACTTGGATGGTTACTTCCTGATTTCAGTTTGTAATGTTGCGTGCACCACGAAGTCAACTTACGTACGGTTGGTGGACTTTAGCACGACGGAACCTATGACGTACTCGAAGGATTGTATGGCCAAATAATGGAAATCTGTAATAAGTGACGTGGATCACGTAGACGACGGTGTTTGTCCAAACTGCCGGAACTAGTGATATAGTGAGATTGATGGCAGCGAACCGAGAAGGGGATACTACAAGGAGTATGGCATATAACAAAGCTGTCACGTATTCTTAAACGCTTTACAAAAGACTTTGGGTCCGTAACATTTGAAAGAGAAGGTTGCTTTCGAAGAACCAAAGGGTTACAATGAAGATTTGGAGTCCGTTGATCCAATGCCACCATCAATGTTTAATATCATTGGCGAGCACTCAAACTTCACCACAATTTATCCGTTATAAACAAGTCTGAAGTTGCGGACATATGTGCTGAGTTTATAGCACTTGTCGTGACTCAGATTAGAAAAGATGTCAAGGCGTTTTGTTATTTAAACCGGGCTAGTACACGTCCGGTGAATTACCAAGGTTCTGTAAGCGCCGCGGTATCAAGCAAAAGCTGTCGCCTGATAAACAACGCAGCTAAATGATTTAGCCGAGCCTATGAACCAAGCACTTGTGAAATGTGCAAGATGCGTGGAGATTTCCCAAAGTGTTATTGGGGTGAGGCACATGTGACTGCCAATTTGCATACGCAGTTAAGTTGCCTCACTTGTCACAGCAAATAGCTCGCTGATTGTCAATTTTTGCAGAATACAACGTCACGGTCGCGTAGAAGCCGGAGAGACTGAACGTGCTGGCAGACGTGTCACGTCATCCTGGCTATGAGCTAGCTCATATCAGCTATATTAAAAGCAATGTATTAGATATGATACGTCGAGCGTGTGTTAACGATAAACAGCTTGATCTGATCTCCAGATAACTGTCATCGAGTGACATGGAATTCCATGACAAGCTTCTTGGTCGCTTAAAACTAAGCTTGTATCGTTATGAATGAAAGGATGGCTTCCTTCACTATGAAGTTGAACGTGACGACGAGCCACAGATTGTGGTTCCCCACAACGATGATTCAAAGCTCATGATCATGTTCGAGGTGGATGATTAGCTGATGGCCGGTCACTTTGGCCGTGAGAAGACCTACTAGTCTCTCAGTGCCCAATTTTGGTGGCTCCACATTTACAAATGGGTGGCACGACACGTGAAGACATGCGATGTATGTCAGTGCTTGAGGAGTGCACGGCACACGCAAGTGCCAAGGCAGTATCTTCCTTCTGACTGTTGGAAGTCAGCTGGTCTCAACTTTATCTTCGGCTTTCCCAAGAGTGCTGTTGGTCACAATGGACGCTCGTCTTCGTTGACAAACTCAGCAAGGTGATTCACATGGCTCCGTGTAGCGATTCCATGGATGCCGAAGATCAACTAAATTGTTCATTGATCACGTTTTTCGCAATCATAAGTTGCCAGGCGCCGTCGCCTCTGATCGATAATATGATTCACGGGTGGCTTTTATAATGAATTATTCTGAATTCTTGGCACTCGCTTAGATATGTCCGTGGCAACACACCCGTACACCGATGGACAAACAGAATGTGCCAGCCAAGCGGTTGGTGATGTTTTGAGAAGCTTCTGTAAGAAAATTCGCGGATTGAGTCCTTTTTACCGTTAGGTAGAGCTTGCTATGAACAATTCGGTCCATTCATCCACTGGATTCATGCCATTAGTTATAAGTGAATTGCGATATCTCTGGTTACTGCTTTGTGCGATGGGTGGTGTCTCCAATTGTGTGGGGAGTCCGGCCAATTATTGTCTCCCAAATTCATAAAGTCAATGATACAAATGCAAAGCGCAAGTACAAGGACGTTCTCGACCCACTCATCATGAGATGTGTGAATGTGATTAAACGTGTGCGAGTCACAAAGGCCAACGCAAGTACCACGTTAACACCAAAAGTATACATTTTTTGCAATATACGCTTGCAGTGAATGTTTGTGCAAACATTCTAGCCTCGGACGTAGGTTGTCCAAGTGCATTTCTTCGGCAGATCTGCCATCTTTGTCCTTCGAATAAATGAAAATACTGTCAAAGTGTGTTTGTGCCAAGCGTCGCAGTGGTCGAAATAGATATGAGACCAATCCGCTAACGTTCCTGGGGCACTATAGACTTCGTGATATCGCATGCCACTCCAATAAGTTACCCCACGCCATTTAAGGGACGTCCTTCTCCAAATATTCATTGCCCAAATCAAGCATTTTAAACTTTGTAAAGCCGGAAATACGGTGGATGATGATAGCTTTACACGGAATCGGCATCTATGCGGGAATCGTCTGCGCATTCAACGCTCAACTTGTTATAGGCGTGAACGATACGCCATTTACCATTTGGTTTACGCACTTAAAATGTCGGGCGCTGTGAGAGGACTTTCTCTCCTTACCAAACCAGCAGCTTGCTTTTGGGCAAAGAGCCCATCGATATTCTCACATTGCTCACGCGACAGTGGCCACTACATGCTGTGAACCAGGTTTACGATCAATTTTGTGTCGAATTCCACGCTCGGGTGGAAGACCAGAGGGCGGGTAAGCACTATGGACGTCATCCTTGTATTCCATAACAAGTGAATTATAAGAATCAGTTTAATATCTTAAAATGGCAGATCCTTTGCGAGACTCCACACGCTGTCAGAATTCTTGGAGAACAAAATTATCCATAACTGATGATGAGCGTTGTTCCGCTGATCGACTTTGTATTGTAGCAACACGACCTCCGCAATGTCATCACACTCGAGGTCGTGTAGAAGGTCATCGTAAGTGACTTTTCAAGCTACACCAGCTCCTCCATCGTCGACAACGGTGCCAAAAAACACATGTTTTAAAGTTTGAATTACGTGGACCAGCATATTTGCCTGCTATCTTTGTGTTCTCAACCATACAACGGTAGAAGTTCATCATTGCGGTCAGTTGTACCAACTGACCCACACTCCGACTCAACCACTATGTCAGTGAGAGTATTGGCATATCCAGCCACAGTCGATTCCTTCGACTTTTCATCACTCACATATCGACAACATTCTTCTGTCTTGACGGGGGCAACAGCCACCATCAATCCCTTATAAGTAATTTTCCGCTGCGCAAATCGCCATGCCCACCAACGTATCATTCGATTTCAAGTGGCCAATTCCTGATTCCATTTCATCAATCGACACACTTCCTTAGTGACCGACCACTCGTGGCCACTCCGTATGAATCCATATCTCCTAACCTGAAAAATGTCAATCGCATGACATATAACCATGAAGTGTGGATCCTTCTCCGCAGCATCCAATTGCCGAGCGCTTGAGCGCATCTTCTGGTGCCACGTAGTGACTGTGGGTTCATTACTCCCAAGAGTTTCACCCACGCCAGGAGACACACTCTAAGTCGTTTTCGATTGTCATTCGATCCACGGTTCATGCTTATCAAGTAGATATCCTGGAATCAGGCCATACCGTTTGTCCATCTCGCGAACTGTAATGCTTCCATTGAGTTGAAGTTTTTTATCTTCAGTTGGAAATCAACCGTAACTTTTTCGCGGTGACCACAGCACCAATGGCCAGCTTCACTGAGAGTAAGCCATTGCTTCTATCTAGTGCATCCAGAACCACTCAGTCATCTTCAATAAGACTTGCTACGTGCTTAATTACGTGACGGAGTCAATCAAGATTCTAAACGGACAACCGCTACTCATCACACTCGCTGTGACCACAAGAATACGATTTCGACTATTGTAGTGAGTGGAGGATAATGGTCCTTCGGGAACTCACCCCTCGTTTTTGATTCTACTACCACAGTCACAAAAGCTAATAACTGCCCCAGTAGTCCGCCCGGTATATACTGGGTTTTGGCGTTTCCTGAACGCCTTGTGGTATTGGTACAATGTGACTCGGAACCAATACGCCGCGAACTGTGTCTATAACCTGGTCAATCACGGCGGATTTGACCAAATTGCTGGCATCCATAACAGCGAACTTCCTGCCTACGGACAGTCATCGCGCTTAGATCCATTGGTTCTGGAATCCGGTATCAGCAGTCACCCGCAACATCAGGTTGATCGATTGACCACACGCTTGACGCTGGCGGTAGTTCGCACGCAATGCAATCATCATTACATCTTCCAGAGTAGTCGGACTCTGGTAGAAGACATCGGTCTTGGGAGAACCGTAACTTCATAAGCACGGTGACCATCACTGCGTTAGGCAAAGGTTTGCTTGACATGCTAGCACGAAGCTCACGGAGCTTTTGTACATAGTCATACAATGTGCCGTTGCCTTGACGGCATGATAAAACTTCAACCGTTGTCTTTTGCCACGTTCGGTGGGAGGAACATCGATTATATGGCCGGCAAAGTAGCTAGAGCCATTAAATTCCCATATCATCGCCCAATCTTTCGCACTATCATCCATATATGACATGGCAAACGCCACTTGATTACAATCAGCCCGAATTTGAGATATCGTGTTTCTCGCTACCAGAACACAAGATAGTATCTGTCATTCCCGTGAAAGCTTTTCACCTTGATTTTCACGGCTTGTTCTGTGCGTACTGACGGTGTTACTACCACTTGTGGATGAAGTGACGAAACTGGCGTGGGTATGTCCCGCGTTAAATATCTCAATAATCCTTGCTCATACACAGCAAAATTTGCGAAGTGCTGAGTTATTGCTTCTTGATCCAATTGGAGCATTTCTGAGACCGCGTGATCTCCGATTAAAGCTCCCATCTTCACCACACACACCCATTGTGAGTGTATGAGGAGCGAATATCCCTTCCTGTCGCTCCAGGGACGACCGCCGCCTGCGGTGTCCACATCAGCCATCGATAAATCCATCGAAATAGTCGGCGCTGGAATGATTACTAGTGCCACCAAGTGTAACGGGAATTGCCCGTCCGTGTACACAGACTTACTGAAAAAAGCTTAGGTCAACTGACACGCCTCGCTGCGTGTTGCTCACTTTCGGCTAGTCATTGACTTCCGTAAAGAGTAGAAAATGTAAAGTGATAATTGTTATTATAACCAACAGGCGTTTAACCCCTTCTAACCTGAATAATGCCACCGGTTCTGATACAACAGAACTAAAGTGGCTATACAACTAAACAGGGTGTATATTTCATGTTGGAACACGATTATGTTGTTCACACAACATGTGTCATAAGATCTAGCCCATCAAATTCGTGCTCCACCTGGCACTAAAATTTGAGATGCTATTTTCCGTTTTCAAAGTGTGGCTCAGAGATGGACGCAGAATGTTTCGGCCCGAGCCGCGCCTGTGCGATTACCTTTTTTAGGGAATAGTACGTCTAGATGAGATCAGCAATGCTTGGTCATTATGCCTCTTTTGACTGGCAAGCTTGATATACGAGCAATCAAGGTGTGCTTAGATTGGTGCCGTTAGTGTGACGCGTTGTTGCCCAAATGTATGTTCATCACAATAACTCATGTCCAAAAAACTCATCTCGTTTTTTTCTTCAAAGGTGTCAGAGGCAGCATCAAACACGGCAAACACTCTTGTACTTGAGAGGAAAACTTTTTATCAATGCGGAAAATTGCAACGGCATCAAAAACCGATGAAGTTCCTAAAATTATATTTGGAGAAGGCTAAATATCAAACATTTACCTGGTACGTGAAACCTTTGGTACAGGGAGGTTTATCCCCGGAGAACGTTAAAAATTTGATCTTGAAGTCTTCGCGAAAAATTGAGCGCAAAGTGAAAGGCTCGCGCCCCTCACTTCGGGTGGTATAGACATTCCGGTCTCGTTACCAGTTAAATTCAGGAGATTCTTGCACCAAAATGTCACACATGAATGTGAAATCTGTCGTGCTTCACTCGTCCCTGCAATGCTCGCCGAATGTAATATTTGCCACTGAACCTTGTCTACAAAAAGATTTGACACTAATTGAAAGCGGTCTCGCTGTTTAGATCTTTGTGGTAGTTTGTTGTAATTAGAAAGACCTCAAATTGAGAGGCGTCTCGTCGGCGTATTTTAATAGCTGATAAGAGCCACCATGTGCGCGGTAACCGCTGCTGGGTACTGGGTCGCCGAGTCGGTGTGTGTGCTGATGATGTACGCGTTAGTCCCGAACCCTAAACTTAAACCACTAAACGCTCGTTAACGGAAGGTTTCTAAGTGTTGTTATTACCTTCTCGGATAGAAAGATGGATGAACATATCAGTCCGATCCAAACAAGAAGTACGCTATAATTTTTTGCCCATCGAGAAAATATTCTTCGTTTATTTTCCCTATTGATCATGAAGCTTTGAATGCATCCAGGTCCGCATGGATCTTTCGGAGACTGTTGTCTCTTCACAGTGTTTTGGTTAAGACGCTCTTATAGGTAACTCGTCGACTCATTTTCGTGGCTGGTGAACCCTCCCAGACGAGCAAGCACCATTCCGCCAATCGCAATATATTCTTGCGAACGAAGGCTTGTTGATTGTGTTCTATTATTTTGCTAATATACATGTTACATCCTCGCATAGGACACATCCTTACCCAGCCTCGGTCGATAAGTTGACGGCGAATGCAGCGAGGTTGCCTGCCAAAGCTTCAATATGTATCCTTTATGACATGTGTAGCACAATGCACAATTTTCTGTCCTTCGGGCTGTAAGCTAAGCTTAGTGGTACCAAAGCGAAGTATTATGACATAGAATTATGATAAGTACCTTCGTCTGAATGGTCCGTGGGGCACGTGGGCTGCAGGCCCCACGCATCCTTTAATTAATTTAATCGATCCTGACAATGATACTTTTCAAACTCAATCAGACGAAGTTTATATGTCATTTAAATGGGTGTCGATTCCACACTTTGGTTGAAGTGTACCTGTGTGGTTGCTAATTGGAACTAGTAGTCAATGCTTTCTCTCGACAATGTGCACGGCAAACTCGATGCATCTGATAGTGATTGTTGTCAATCCAAAGCCCAAGGCTCCGCTGAGTTAGACAGCAATCTGGCTATTTTCCAGACGTAGCTGCAGCACGTCGCGCAGGGGATATCGATGCCTGAAAACCGTGCAAGATAATTGAGATCTACGAACGGATTCTCAGTAGATGAGGATTTCTCGAGTTGGCGCAGCTTCATCAGCCATGTAGGTGTAGCGTGATAGGATCATATTTATTGTTTTCTTGTTGATGAGGGGGCAATTTATTGGGTTTGCCGTGGTCCTTTTTAGGAAACGATGATCGTTGCCACTTTCACAAAGGATCTTTGAACACGTGATGGTCGCACGGGATATTTTGCGTTTACCGCACCTCTTTCAAGGATGCGGTGTGTATTGCATTTAACGCGGGGAACGACTTTCATACCACGAAGCTCGATCGGAGTGCAGGAGGTAAATCCTTTATGAGAATTCAAGAGGCAATGGACTCAGACAAGATGAAATATGAATGGAGCAATCTTTCGGCTGTCGAGTAACACCGTATGATATGCAAGTGTTATATCAACGAAATAGTAGTCCTCTAAGTATATATCTCTTGTGTCGAGTATTGCAGAGGGTCAAGCTCCCAAGCAGGGTTGACCAACAAGTATCAAATGCTGGGCGGTCTGTTAAAAAAGTGCATTCTGTCGTGCCTAGTGGGGGTAAAAAGCCTATGTAATTTAGTCTTTTTAGGAGAGTTGAGGCTCATATTCAGGGGAGCTGACTGTCAAGGTCAACATCTGCTTTCGAAACATTCGGCAAATTTTGGTCTACATGCGTCGCATCAAATTGGTCGCCTTCACAACAGACCATTTCTAAACGGGTGACCGAACGGATTGAGAGTGCGTGATGAAAGATATTTCCGAAGCGCTAGCAAGAGCAACTACGGTGCTCAAGTGATATGATCCAAATAATTATGTTTGCGCTCAATTATTAAGTCGATAACTCTGTTGACTAACCCCAATTATTGTATGTCGTTTTGAAGCCCCTGTCTTTTGCCGACGCCGCTACGAAGTAGCTTTGGTATTGATAGGTAAGGGTCATCAAAACAATCGACTCGATGCATCAGCCCAGCTACACCTCAAAGATTAATCGAGAATCTTATCTCAAAAAGATGTAACGTCAGCGCGACGCTATGGCGGAACGCCGAGTGTCGATTCGATCCGTTGTGGGAGGTAAGCATTTGCTTATCGTTCTTAGCTACTTTAAATATTTTCCGTCTGAAGGCTGAGGTGTACCCTCAATGTATCGGTTTCAAATTGTTAAAAACGGAGTGGACAATACTCTCAATACCTCAAAGTGGGCATCTACGTGTTTACTAAAAATCAAATCACAATCTTTCACGAATCATTTGGGCACGAGACTCTTGTTGAAAAAGAAAAAAATAACAGTCTTCCCCTATCACTTAGCAACACTCTCATCTAGAGCAGTAATTTGGAGCTTGATCCAGTTTGGGCGTCTCAGCAATCGGCCCTATTGCACAGCTCCGCGAACTCCTTTAGTAACAGGAATTTAATCCGTATCGCGTGCAAATCGATATGCTCGGAGTAGCAATTTAATGTTTGATAAACCCGCTAGTCCATTTTTTGCACAACATTAAATGGCTATCCTTGTCCGTTCGACAAAGTGTGATCGTCTCTTGGCTGATCCAAAAGAGAAAATTTGATCGTGGCGATACGTCGATGCACTGAGAATCATATGAAAATAAAGTTGATATCCGGCAAGATTGCCCTGGTAACGTTGACATCTACGATCAGAGCTTCCTCTGTCTCGACTTTCCTAAGAGAAAAGATAAGGCAACGCGGCGCATTGCGCTTTTCACTGGCGAGTGGGATTCGAACTTGGTGAACAGCTGTACTAGCAGACGGATGGAAATGATTTCAGCTCTTCTAGCCAGATTTGAAGGTGAAAACGAGTGCTCACTGAACATTAAAGTCCTTCAAAAGTCTTGCTTTTATGACACGACTATCTCATAATACTGGTATGTAGCCGTAAACGGCAAGGCGACGTGTATTTTTCGCTCGCCGCTTAGATTGCGTCATATAACTTTCGACGCTTAAGTCAGAGTCTAGTACAAAGATACAATTTTCATGGAGAGCTCCAATTTCCCCAGTCGTATTTGATTCAGCCGAATGGAATATGTTGTAGCCTGTGGGATGAGGAAGCACCATCCAGCCAATGTTTGGGTGTAAATCTACTCTCTGATTGAGCCTACATATATAAGTTGCAAAGTGTCGCGCCGCGATGCGGTCGAGCAAACTTTGATGGATTAGATTCGTGACCCGACATGCTAAAATCTGGAGCGACCATACCAAAAGTCACCGCGACCCTTGCGTTTGCAGAAAGAAAAACTCAGCTCACTGAGTCGTGTACAGCTAAATTAAAACGACGTCATATCGATTTCCGCGGCGAATGTGGCGTAATATCTCGCCGTCGATAATGGACGGTTAATGCAAATGCGGCGTAACGTATTAACCCGTCCTTTTTAATAAAAAATATCGTAGATGAAAAACTAAAAAATTGGTCTTGTTCCTAGGTGTAGGTCTGTCAGTACTCCAAAACAATTTTGACAGCTCAAATCAAAGTATACGTCGACAGCCGCAGAAAAAAATGAAGCCTGCCGCAAGGGTCGCGTCTTTCTGTGTCGATTATCGATCCATATGTTTTGATTAGCAAATTCGAATATACGTCAGAGCTGTTCCAGTGTGGTGCATCAATGAGAAGAACTCCTAACAGTGAGCGCTCAGATATACTTACGATAGGCACATTCTTTTAATATCCAAAACAGTCACTGCCTAGATGAGCTCTTACTTTGGTGGGGGCAAAGGGGTACGTAATCTCTTATGTGTACGTGCACACTTCATTATCGCTCCTCGGACTCAGAGCCAAGCTCATAAGTGCCTATGTTTGACTGTATGATAAAGTTTTATGATGAGTAACTTACAGATGAGGGTGGTGAGACTCTAAACAGCGAGGCACATAGGCTGCTAGCCTCACGCTATGCATTGTGAAAAGTGTAAAATGTTACGTGTTAAGACCGATATATATAACAGAAATTCAAAGCTTCCCTTACCACAGATATATCAGAAGCAAACCAAATAATTAACTTCTTGTGAGACTATCGGCTCGGTGTCCGAGTAGTACCCATTCAACTCATTCTTTAAGTGTATGTTCGCGCGGATTGGGAGAGTCGAAGATTTCTTTGTGCGAGGTGCTTGCCCGCTTATCGCATCTCGCATTTTGCTTGCAAACTTCGTATTTAAATGAAGTCAGCGCTGGGAGCCAAGTCTTCAAAGAGAAGTCTATGGTTGAAATGATGACGACAGTATAATATTTACACTTTGCAAATAAGTTGCCTTTAGTACAATCAAAATTTGACAAGTTTGTGCTGTGAAAAAATGTTCAATATGTAATTTTTTCTGATACAGTGAAGTGAACGCCCTTACAACTAATTTGAATGGATCGAGCCGAATCAATGGTGATTGATAAAGATGCAGTCAATGATAAGACTAATGCATTAGGATGAAGCACTGACGAAACTGTAACTTAGATTGACATATACGGTAGCGCACATAAGCAATTATTTACGAAAGAAAAGGCCCGAGTGGAGCGAGATTAAATAGTGAGCAGGAACCGGAGCCTATTGTTGCCGGCAACCCAAGAAGCACTCATGTAATCTATACATTCTGCAGAGAGAGCTCTCGACTTTACATGCTCTCAATTCACGGTCAACAGGATATAACTGGCCTATAAACTAATTTGTATGCATTTCTTGTTGGTTCAGAACTCTCAAGACAATTACACTAATTTATAAACTTGGGTTTATATATATCTAAGCACAACGCAGTTGCAATCTTTTATTTGCTCAGATGTAAAAACTGCATTCAAGCTATCTTACTGTCAGATAGTGATGCAAATTCAAGTTTAACATTGTTCGAAACAAGTAAAATCTTCTGTCATGTTTATTCGCCGCATCGGTTTTTGTAGCAAGTGGCGACTGTATACACGAAGTCGCGCAGCTGAGCTGTGCCAGTACACAAGAATGCAATTAACGTTGTATGGCCTGACGAGCATTGGCTGTTGTGATTATGTGTTTAATCATCTTTGTACTTCCATGCCATTAACGATTAAAATACCAATTGCTCCTTCGTATGGATAAAGCATAGATTTGAAGAAATTTCAGTAAACATGTTTATGAAATTAAAATTATTGTGGCAAAATCTTAACTAGGCTTAGCTATATATGCAGTATGTTCAATGCAAGTAAATTTTATTTTCATACCCAAAAATGGATGATTACTATAACTTTTAGTACAATTTATCATTCAATGTGTGGCTTATATATGCATGTAAGGGCTGTGGCTACAGCATGTATCTTGGGTATGATATCTGTTGTTGTTGCAGTTGAAGCTGATGGTGCATCGTCATTTGCAAAATTTGCAAGTCCTTCACACTGAGTAGCCGAAATAGGGTTTTAGGGCAAAACATTCGATATAGCATCGACTTTGATCACCCAAATGTCTGCTTTTGAGCCCAAAGGACAAATTGGAGTCAACACCGCGAATGACTTACTCGACAAAAGTTGATTTTGTCATTCATGGAGATGGAATTTTCACGGAAGATAATTAGAAGCATGACACTTGAATTAAAAACTGAGATGACCTTGCAAAAGCGTGCAAATTACATGAAAGAGTTTGCTTCTACTGCATAAGTAACGAAGCTGAAATGCTCGTATTATTAGTGATCAGTCAGAAAGATCAGGCGCCAGCTCACCGCTCGTATACGATGCCAGGACGCACGCTCGGCTAGGGTGGAAGCTTAATCGACCTTCTGCACAATCTTCGCCAAGATAGCCTCTGCGATGCCTTCCACTTTTAGCGCCTTCCTCTACAGTGGTAACAGCTAGGCAGCGGTGTTTGGGGCTCCACGTGGAAGCACAACTGAGAGCGACTACTGTCGTCGCAATTGCTGCCGTATATTTGGTACTGTGTGCTTCTGGGGAATTAGATCTAGATAGCGCTGACAGACTCCAGTACTCATGACACTCCGACCTTTAATATTTTATAAATGCGTATTTTGTAAACTCTGAAAATTAATGTCAACCAAGCCACAAAGACCGTTAAATTTCTATTTCTAGTGTAATGTATATTAATTTGTGTGCCATACACAAGTAGAGATCAAGAACCCCCAAAGGGCAACCTGCATATCATTCGGCTCAGATTATTACGGGCATTCACAATAAAATCTTTATCAGAAATACTACATCCGCTCTCACATTATAATCACTTTGCCTGGATATGACGGTTGGACGACTTCACTGAAGAAAATGAGACAATCGTGGGTTTTGCCTCAATCACTTCAAGGATCCAATAGTTGCGATAGAGGGTTTGAAGACAGCATGAGCACTGATAGGCAGTTATTTGCAGCCCACCAAATAGCAATGCAATAATTGTGTGTGGTGCTGTGGACTCAACGAGTGCTATACTTGCCGATGTAAGTACAGTTTAAGCCACGCGAAGATCGAATACCCAGAGAAATCAGAATAAAGCGCATGCTAGGTATGATCTCGTGGTCAAAACGGTCACACGAGGAGACAAGGAAGTCACAATGTTTAAGCTTAGCATATGCAACAAGAGGATAAGCTAACCACTATCTGGTCAAGATTACACTGGACGTTGCCTTGGGTAATGACAGTGGAGTGCTGCTTCTAGAACAGATTGTTTGCTTGATAGTGAAACGTCATCGCATATGATCCTAGCGCAAAAGAATATCAACAGTCATGGAGAGCGTTGATGTTACGGCCATAGATAAGACGCGACGATCACGGGTGCTGTTCACATACAATGCCTTTAAGATTGCATAATTACAATAGTGGAACTCCTCTATTCTAAAATTGGTTTGCCGCCGACTATCGCCTGTAAAGCTTACTCATAAGGGTCTGACGGTGATTTTCGGTTTGAAAGGATTTTAAAATTGAAATGCTCTGGCAATGAATTGGTAGTAACTGTAGCCAAAGCGAACAAAGTATATCGCGTGAGAAACTACCAGAAATGCTGTGAGTGTAGTTGACTACAGGAAAGTCAGATTATTAGATCCCATTATGACCATTGAACCCGTTGACTTGGTGTGAGTTATCGTTTGTCGAAGAGGACTGTAGCATGGGCAAGATTTAAGTCGTGGGTGTGACGTGGTCGCCAACTGCTTGCCATAAAGCAGAAGACGATCACGCCAAATTTT